CAATCGTGTAAACGTTTACAAAAAATTGTAAACGTGGGAGCCTTACTTCAGGGATCTATATGTAAATATCACCTTTGAAATATGTGTACATATAGTTGTTTTATAATAACTGGCACTCACCATACATTACCATTGTTCTGTGTTATATTGAAATTATAAACTTATTTGATGAAGTTAATATTTTAAATTTTAATAATGAAGAAACAATAAATAAAATATACATTTTTTAGTACTTGTAATATCTGAAAAAAGTAGGGCAGCGTTGACCAATTTTAGGGCCACATGATGAAACATTTTGGGACCATAGATTTTGATTTAATCTATGGTTAACCAGAAGAATATTGATATGAGCTTCATTGATTAATTTTGGTGTCAGATTGACCATAGTTTAGGCTAGGCTGGGTTAACTTTAGGCCGGATAAACTTTGGCCTCGATTAATTTTGCGTAAGGTTGACTAGCATTCTATGATACATGTATCTAAATACAGACAGATTTAATTCTTCAATGACTATTAGCTTATAAAATACAGTGATATATAAAACATATTAGGAAAATAGGATATTTATAGTTATCTATTCTAAGGTAAAAGGTTCTTACTGTAATATCTTGCTTATATAATCTTTTAACCATATAATTGCTATGAGTATTTACATTATTTTGCCGGCAGTCGTTTGGCAGTATTTTTTTTAAGTCTTTGACTCGTTGAATTAGATTATTAGTTCTGTGCTTTATCCTTTTCATCATGCTGCTACTTTTCTTTAATTAATGAACTATGCACTATTTTATGTAGAAGCCATAGAAAAGACATTACAAAATAATCATTAGGATAACCTTGATTGTTGTTGCCATGTCTGACCTATAATTAAACACATGAGATGAACGGTATTGTATCTTCGGTTTTAATTTCCTGAGAGATTGCTTAATGTTTTTATTATATTTTTTTTAGCCATTTTTAGGTTTTAATCTGCGATGCAGATGCTAAAAATAACAAAGTAATCCTATTTCCCTAAAAAATAGTCTGAGACTAATTTAATTGTTTCTACAATAGACCTGGCAAACTGATTCTATTAATAAAGTGTTTTTAGGCGAACATAACTTACATTGACTCAAGATTCTAAATTAAGACAATTCATTTCTATACAACTTTTATTCTAGACAAGAACTAGAAACTGTTTTCATGCACCTGTCTTTTGAAAGTCAGTGTAAAATGTATAATTAAACAGCAATAAAGGTTTGCACAAGTACCTGACCATTATAAAGCCAGGCCAGCTTGCACTGCCATTTAGCCAGACCTTAGACTTGACACTCTTGTATTCAATTTCTTTTCCTGTATTTAGATATTGAAATAATAAAGTCCATTATGTCATATTATTAATTTACTTTTCAATATTAGGCAAATTTTCACTTTTAATGTAAAGCTTATATGAAGTTCACCACAACATTATGAACATAAAACAAGGCCATTTAAATATGCAAAAAGAACGACCTTTATGAGAAAACTCGGCTGTTATAAGATTGGAGAATTTTTATTGGCTCTCCAGCTTGGCCATTATGAATCTGTTGTTTTTTTATCATTGAAAAAAAAAGTTGCCATTTTGAATTGCTGCAAGGTAGATTTCTGAGACATTTTTAAAACAAGAGTAGGAAATAACTCTAAACCTACAGAGTTCAATTCATTTTTCAAAAGTTAGAAGTCAGTCAGAGACTGCAAAATCTCACGTTATAAAGGTAAAGAAGGAAAAGCATTACATGTAACGGAAGTCACAAGCCAATCATCAAGGAGTAAGTGACTCCCAAACTTCCAGTACCTGAAGAAAAAAAAAAATTGATAAAAACCTTTGCCAACAGTATAGAGCTAGGTCAGACTGCATAGCATATCCATGCAGTCTGGCCATGCGCTACACTGTTTGTTTAGCTTCATATTGAAATCCCTTAATTTTCAAATGAACTGTTCCAAATTAAATGCAGAGTGAATCGAATATCGGTTTCGCAAATTCAGCTGGTAAAAGGTTAAAGGAAATGTAAATGCTTGAATTGTGAATGCAGAGAGTGTAAATAATGCTGGACGTTATGGAAATTACATTGTAATCTTGCTTTTAGATACCAAGGCATGAAGCAAAGATTTGTGCATTAAGTGTAATCAGGCAAAACACTTTTTGAAAAATTTGTACAAGTCGGCGAAAACAGTGGCCTACCACATGGTTTTGTCACGTCATGTGTTTGCTATTGCTGGCAGACAAAAGTGTAAACAAAGCGGCAAATTTGAAAACCATTCAAACAATCTTGTAAGGTGGTTAAGGGAGTAAACCATGTTCTCAGATATCTTCACAATTTGAGAAAACCACCTTTTGGTTGATTCATTCTCATGTTACAGCAAGGTAAAAGCCTATTTGATGAAATTCTTGATAAACATTTTTTTATTATAATGTGGTTCTTAAAATTAAAAAAAAAAATAATTATTTCAATTATTTGTATGTGGAATTTTACAATCATGTAATTTGAATTTCAATTACAATATATTTGTTTAGTATAATAGCCTCTAGCTGCATGAAACAATACAGATTTGAATTTCAGTTCATTTAAAAAAATTATAAAATAATTTTAATTATCATTAGGCCATCCTTAAAAAAATGTTTGTTTGCAGTAACCTGAACCAGAATTTTCAAGGTGGGTAGGTAGGTCGATTTTTTTTTTTTCTTTTTTTATTGACTGTACTCCAAAAAAAAACATTTGAATTTCAAAATGCTGGGGAAACATATTTGCTTTTGATAATCTTGTAACAATTAATAATTGATAACTGAATTCTAATTTAATAGACTACATTTTATTTCTTCTTTTACCTTTAAAAGAACGAAACAAAGCACAAGCATAATTTTCTGATTCACAAAAAAATTTTTTTTATCCAGACCATGAAAAAAAATTTGAGTAGGGGCAAATTTTGTGAGTTGGTCGCGTTACTGCAAACAAACATTTTTTTAAGGATGGCCTTATTATTTGAATGCAAATTTTCATATAGTTATTATAGAATGTTTTTTCATAGACTTAAAGATCCTGTATGTTGTAATTAAGGTTGTTACCACACTTACAAAATGTAAGTGAAATTTATAATATGCTTCTTAGGTCTCGACACTAACTTTTTCAGCAGGTGGTATGCCGGACCACTGGATCCAAAATTCAGGTGGTCCTTTCTGAACACAGGTGGTCCATCTTTTTTTTGACTCATTTGTTTTTAAGGAAACTTCAGATTTAGAAGAACTACACTTAAAATTGGTGAGCAGACATATTTATAATTAGATTTTTTAATAAACAACTGAAGAAAACATGTATTTTTTCTATTATCAAGTCTATCAGATAGTAAGTCATTGTTAATCCTATTTAGTATTTATTTCTCATTGAAAAATACATGACAGTACTCATACTTTGGTTAAGTGGACTTCTTCCCGCAACTCAAGTTAGGAATAGTGTGAACCATTTTGTGAATGACTAATTCCTACTGTTATGTGTTTCCTTGTACATCTTATAAGATAATAATAATTGTCTTTTTATAGATTAACATTTTTAATTAAATTATTTCTATTATATTCTTGTCTTTGAAACAATTGAAATATTAATGATAAACAGAAAATTTCTACATTATAATTAGAGCTTATCTTCCTACTCGATTTTATTATACATGCTGTTTGTTGAAATTTATTATATTTTTGACAAGTATTTATAACTTTTAAGGTCACTTTAAATAAAAAAAATGATCTCTGATCGTTTTAAAAAAAGAGCCAAAGATTACAATATATTAATTTTTCCTTTGCCTTGATTGTTTATGTGTTTATCCGATATCCATAGTGACTACAAATGTGGGCATAATTTCAATGGACTAGAGACATTTGAATGATTGTACTTTATTCTAAAAATAATTTTCTATAAACTACTCATGTTAGGCGAGTTATAAAAGTTATGGATTTAAGATTCTTTTGATACTTAATGGTTTATTGTATGAACATGTTTTTAACCTGTATCGGAGATAAGGTTTTTAAAAGAGCCAGTATGAACACGTTTTCGACAATATCTCTCTTCTCCAGATGATGGCCTGATCATTTGGAAATTCAAGTGTCTAAAGGCCACTGCCTGTAATATAGGGGTGGTCTTGCCAATTATTAGTGTGCTCTTGGACCAATGGACCACCGTTATATTGTTCGAGGCCTGTTTCTGTTAACAATTCAATACATCGAAGAATATGTAAAATATGAACTGCAAATATTTGTCCACAATATAAATTATGTAATCATTAAAATATGTGCATTCATTTTGTATTGAAAAATTTGACTTAGACTTTATAGAAAATAAATTTCTTTTTATCTCCCTTTATAAACATTTAGTGTAAATTCGGTAATATATTTACAAATAATCCTTTTTGGAACTTACAATATTGATAAATCTTTATTTGAACAATTTATATTTATGATATAAAACCATAAAAAAATTGAATTACAGGATCTTTAACAAAAATGTGTAAAAACTGGTGTTAAAACCAGAAGAAGAAAAAATCTTGAATTCCAAGTAATGAATTTGTAAAATATGACACCTTAATCAAAAATGTTTGCCAATTTAAACAGTTTATTATGTAAATAGAAAATTATAGGAATAAACAAACCAAAATATTCATAGAAACTTATTTCTTGTTCAAGACTTGTAAAATAATATGTATAAATTATCTTATACATTGTATTTCATTTAAATGTAATACTTGCATACCAAAAAAAAAATCAATTTCTAATGACAAAATTTGTGTTGAAATTAGTATTTATATTATAAGATTATGGTATATTTCACAAGACTTTAGTGTACTGTCATGTCCAAAAAGGAGCTCAGCTGTCCCTAGTAATCTATATTTCATGTATTTATCCAATTTGCCATTGTCCAACTAGATATAATCTCTGAATTTGATCACGTCCAGGCAAATGTAAATCTGTCTGTCGTGCATCTTTAGTAGTGTCCGTGTATCGTTAATGTCGGCACTGTATAGCAATGGTAATGGTGACAGCGACAGCTGAATTTTGGATTAACGTTATTGGAAATTTTGCCTGAATCCCACTAGAGTTTAAGATGTCATTTTGATCAGCAATTTTCTATAGACTAAATATTCTGTCTGCAGGAGGTTTTTGTAAAAGCTCAGTCACATTGGCAAGGTTGAAAAAAGTAAGACGTGCATCTTAGTTTAAAGGCGTCGTCAACTACCATATGGTCAGCGGTTAAAAGGATAACTTAATCATTTAAAGGTAATATTGTTGTTCTATTCTGTTGTATAGAATGTTTAGTTACTATATTTATAATATTTGAGTTTGGTGAAAGAGGTAAAAAGTGATAAATCTGGTTTGCTAGTTAATAGTTTAATTTTATATTATGTAGTTTACTTTTATAATATTTTAATAGTTTGATTTTATATATTAATGGTTGTGGTTTTTAAGGTGTTGTGTTATGTATGTGTTGCAAACATTACGTTTCTAATACCGGTAATTAATTTCAATTGTATAATTTTTTTTAAGCTATTTTTACTTTAATGCTTTATAAGATACAATAAGTTAGAAGAAAAAAAAAAAACCATTCACATACTATTGTCTGTTTGATTGACACTATTTAAAACTTAAAAAAAAATCTTCAAAAAATGTTAAAAGGGTATATATTTGTTTACAAATTATTTTAATTATTAACTTCAAGCATTGATTACAAATGCACAAAATTGAGATGCAGTCCCAAATGCTTCATTTTAAGACTGTGAATTTGAAATCACATAAATTCAGTATTGGATTGTTACAAATACATAGCAGATGACATGTCCATTACGAAAATGTAGCGGGATATATTGATATTGGTTTTTTATTTTTGCTATCGGAAATTGTTGTCAAACATCTGTTACTTTCATTTTATATGTTTCAGTATGTATCATATTTTATTATAATACCGTATATAATATTGTATAGAGTTATAGTCATAGCTACGTTTACAGATTTACGTGACCTTTCCAGACAACATTTATTTTATACATTACACCAGCATAATCTGTGATATCAATCAGTTGTGCTTTGATTAACATTTTTGTCGACCTGAAAGTCGTGAAGTTATAGCATAATTAATTATTCATGATGGAATATAAATGGTTTCAGAATTCCCAGAAATAGTTATCCGGAAATAAGATAAAAAAAGCCAGGGAGAAATAGTTATTCAGATGTAAAAATAAAATATCCAGGGGATATATTGATATGGTTCTTGAGATGCTAAAAATGTTTTCTACACGAAAGAGGAAAAACAGTAATGATTATGTAAAAAGGTATTTTCGCTACACGATAATGTTTTTTCTGTACTAATATACATATATACAGCTATGGGCCTCATAATTATGTACATTTGTTTTTCAAACCCTGTGACACAGCATCTTGTAGATCTTTAAATTGTATTAGTAAATACATAGTTTTGATAAGACAGTAGTAGTTATGCTTAACTTTGGGTGTGAGATTGATTTCAGGGTTCAACTGTACTTGAGGTTATGTAGCAATAACAGCGAAATAGTCTGTACATTGTATGCTTAGTTCACATGTACTTTCTATGCTTGGTTCACACTGGCTTGAAACTTTTTGACATTATTTTTTTGTGAAAATGAAGAAGGTTCAAATTTCTCCCAAACAAAAATGCCTTTTACAGAACATTTGTTTCAAGAGTATAGAGCTACTTATTATTTGTATTGGATTTGCCTTGCTTTAAATTTGGAACAGTCTATGCAAGCTGAGTAGATTGTTAACATAGTTATTTGATTAGGAAATAGATATCATTTTTGTGTGCATTTTTGTAGAATAATGCACGGTTCAAATGCATAGAAATTATAATAATCATGAAGACCAATAGCCCCAAGTGATTAATTACAAAGCATTTGAACAATTAACCATGCATTATTATACTATAATGCAAGAAAAGTTAATATATAGAGGATATTTGTTTGTTTTGCATGTAAGAATGAAATATAATTTCACTGAGTGAACATCAGATGCAATATTTTCACGAGTGGCGTAGCCACGAGTGAAAATATAATAGCTGGTGTTCACGAATGAAATATATTTCAATGGCTTTATATGAAAACAAATAAATTTTCTTTTTATTTCATGCTTTTTTAAGTGAGTTTAAGTATTTTTTTTACTGATATTTGCGCGTAACGTCGCGCTAATTCTCCTTTGTGAGTCATCACATCATGACGTCACAATCATCAATTTTGAAATATAGTTTCTGTTAAAATTTCTCTAATTTTTGTTTCACCATTTTAAACATGGATGTATGGTGACATCGATTTCTTTTCCTAAAAAACGAAAATTTTACGTATGACGGCATTTATATTCTGCTGTTATTCCCATTTAGTTTAATTTTCTTTCATCCGCATTCAGATATAGTCCGGCTACAGTGAAAATTATATTTTATAAATTTCACTAGTGGTTTATCAGAATATAATTCTTAATATATTACAATAAAAACTGGAAAGCTTGAAATAAGTATTTTTTTTATAACATTGCTACTAAAAAAAAGAATAAATAAAAAATATGTTGATCTACATTGAGCGTAAAAGTAATTTTCCTGACGTCATTTGGTTCAATGACGTCAGATGACATGTTAGCATGGGGGATGCCAGGTGACTTGCATGCTATACAATGGGAAAGGACGAATATTTCGATTCGAAGCAATTCGTAGATATTATACTATATTATTATAGATATTATTAATATTGATTGATATTGTAACTGACATCTCTAAATTTAGCAATAGACTGGTCTAATTCAGAGCAAAGGGCAAGACCATGACACAAATTAATAGTACAAGAATGATTCGGATAGTCGAGTATGTAACATTATTTAAATCTGTCTCCTTTATTTTCCTCAGCATTTCACGCATCTGAGATTGTAAATCAGATATGGAACAAGCTGGGTTCGTAACTTTGTTCATTTTACCGTTGTATTGCTGTACTGACGTCTGCTGTGTATGCATGTATACGGTAGTTTGAAGTTTTCTGTTCTGTGTTCTTTGCTAACACCTTCAGTTTAAACCTTTCTTTCTTTCTGTTTCAGCTTATTTATTAGGATTAAAGCAGCATGCCTCCAGATGCTAAAAGTATTTCAAGAAAATCTACTTGAGAAAAAAGAAATGAGATTTAAAGAAAATTAAAATGACCTCATTTTGATAATTTACATGGGTTGTAAGTGCTGTTTGCTATGTGAAAGTTATTCTCTTTGTTCATTTCACAATATTTTACTTTTTAATACATTTTCAAAATTCTCATGAAACTTAGCATGAATCTAGGTGTGCTGCTTTAAAGCTTTCGACTCTCGTTTCAATGACTTTCATTTCTGCTTTGTGAAGAAATACTTAGAAGTCTTCTGTAAAATAAGGAAGCATACAATTCATGTAGTTCTGTATATCCTTGGTAAGGTCTGTTAGTGTTGCATCATAAGTAAAAAAAATCAGAGAGCTGTTTTTGATCAGTTACAGTTACTGATTGTATATCAAAAGCATTGTTTAAAATTCATGTATATTTCTTTTTTAATTATTTAGTTATTTTGAGTTGTTGTAGCAGTTTAATTATTCTTAAGTAACTTGATTGTCTAACATGGTTGCTGTTATGCTAACAATACTGGGAGGCTGGGTCAGTGCGAGGACAGATGCAAGATAATTTATGATAAAAACTCAATTTGCTCATTTGCCCAATACCGGTATTTAATTAATGTGCAAGATGTTCAGGGTAGTAGTCAGGGAGGTCATTAGGAGGGAACTGTAGGACAACATAGATGAGTGTCTCAAATTATGCATTTTGGGTCTCCTCAGTCCTCAAAACATGGAATTAACCATCTTTGTTGCATGTGATAGAATCAAAAATGGTTGCCTGAAGTTCAAGAACAAACTGCCAGAGAAAAATTTAATGACAACCCTAAGGAACAGTTCATTACACAAGATACACAAAATAAGCAGTTAAAAAGTGAATACATTTAGTATAATGTGAAACAAAAGCAAATGTATACTTGTTTACATTTTATACCCAGTACTTTATTATTATATAAGTATTATTATTGTATATATTAATTAGTGTTGTCTTTCATGGAGAATTTATTGTGACAGCTGTGAGGTACAGATGTTATCCAGTATTGTAGATCTAATTATTATTGATATAATACCATTTTAATTGGATTCATGATAATGTATCTGTTATACTGAAATTTTGTTCAGATTCAGTTGCAGCTTAAACACTCACTAAGGCAACTGCGCCCTTGTTAGTGTTGGACCTTGGTTAAATTTGTAAACCAGTCTTCTTCTTCACTGAGAAAAGTCCAGGGTTTTATTTTCTCAGTAATTTATAAACAGCTCTTGCGTAATCTGCTGAAAAGCAAATGCCATGTTATAATATTATGGGAATTTGCTTAGCATTCTGAAAGTTGATATAATTGGAAAATTGGGTATTATTTGTTGTCCATATGTTACTTATAGGGAAAACTTTTAAAGGAAAATATTCCAGATTTCGCACTTGCAATATGTGAGTATTTGAATATTTCATCTTATTTTCCTTTAAGAATATTATTTTTTCATACATTTACTTCATAACATTCTATTACTGACTATTATCATTTATGACAATGTACAAAACATTTATTTTGTCTTTCTACATTTGATAAATTATGATCATTATTTCATTATCTAGGAAGTTTATTTATATAATATTTGTCACTTAGAAGACATAAATATAACAGTTTCAGATAAGAGGCCTGCTTTCCAGTTTTCATTTGGCAGTAAAAAGAAAACTTTGTAATCATGCTCAAGTTTTGTTCTTCTTTGAAAGACTTCACACTTTCTTTTTTTCCAGAGTTTTTCATTTATCAGAAAATGCTGTTACAGTGCATTTGATAATGTAAAAAGTAGCTTCAAATTTGCGGTTTAGGTCTTAATATTTAGGACTAGCTAAAATTTTGTACTATGATTTAATTTTTACAATAAAAGAGGAAAATAAGTTTGAAACCAGTGTGACCCATGATTGTCTCCCACTTATTCTTATTCACTGTATTTGAAGTAATAGTATGTAACTTAGTTCACTATCTAATACTTAGTACTATTATTGCTCACTTTACATGTCTTGTTATTTTGGTTTTAATTCTATATCCAACCAAGACAATAACAATAATAATACATTCTGTCAAAATAGGTAAATTCAATCAGATATTGAAAATATTATGTATTATTTTCATAATTAATGCAAAATTCTCGTTTGGTAAGACAAGCCCATAAAACAAGTTCAACATGGTGAAGGTTTAATTTAATTAGTTTAAACTTAAATTTGACTTCATAATGGCAAATACTGGTAAAGTGCAATTTGAAAGGAAGGAACCTCTGACCGATCTTGCTGACATAAACGTTGTTGGTTCTACTCGGGTGCCCTTTTTTGTCTTAAATAACTAATTAATGTACTGGGAGGGGCACCAGTAAAACTCGAAAGTCACTGTGTGATAGCAATGTAAAACCCAACATAGAAATGAAAAAAAGTACAATTTTATTATTATACATTATTATCATGGTTACAGTTATGAAAATATGGATCCCTACCAGAAAGATCAACCTCAACCGAACCTCTGCTACTTCTCAGGTTTGATATTGTTGGTGCAAGGTCTCGGACTAACGGCTGTCATCCTTGTTGCTGTATGGATGGGACATTTTCAGGGTGGTTTTGCATGGCAGGAGGACCCAGACAAGGAGTTCAACTATCACCCTGTGTTTATGGTGATAGGGATGATCTTCTTATATGCTGATGGTAGTTACCCTTTTTCCTATATTTTACATTTGAATATAAAAGGCTGTTTCACTTTGCCCAAAATAGGTATATTTTCCCTCCGTAAAATACAATATTCCCCTATTCCCTTGAATGCCCTGTGCAAATTAGTTACCATAACTGTGACTTACAGCAGCTGACTAATAAATCAGCTAGTTGATAAATTTAATTGACTTAGAGCTGTCCCTATAGATAGGCTAGTAAAAAAAAGCTGCTTTTTGTACCTTAATGGATGGATAGACCAGCATTGAATATACAGTACAGACAGGCAGATTGGACCAGGTTATACTGCACTGATTGTTAATTCAAATAACTTTCAGTTCCAGCAGTTAAAGGTCAATTTGTATCATATGAATTTGTATAATACTGTGTGCCAGTATACTGTACAATTTTATAGGTGATAAGAGCTTTATTTTAGAATTAAAGGTAGTATGTTAAAATAATCATATTGCTGTCTAGAAGGCCAAGGTCAATTAGAATATTACTTTGTTAGTTTGTAGGTTACATTATTGGCATTTATGTAGTATTAAGCAAACTCACTAAAAAATTGGTAAATCATTTATTTACCTGCTTGTATATATAAAAAGATGTAAATATTTCTTTTGTCAATGTTCAAAAGTCATTCTGTCAATGCAGCATTATAATTATTAGCAAATGCACTTAAATTTTCCCTCTTCAATTTTCACCCATATTATTATAGTGTGATCAAAAATGTCTAGCCACCAGACATTAACTCCAGAAATTCTAGTTGACTTGCTTGTTCTACCATTAATGTATTACACCAAGACATGGCTACACTTTTGTGTCTTGATTGGCTCCGCTTCTGTGTCCTTGGCTATGTTTTTGCACTTTGGCTTAAAAGCCCGGAAACTGGACAAGCTTTCTTATACTAATTAAGCGATATAATGGTTTAACATGTCAAATGGTGACAAGTTCAGCCTTTGCTTGCAAATTAGGTGTATAATATTTGCTACATGTACATATATTTTAATCTGATGCCCGCAGTTACCAAAATAATATTTTGAATTTTGAAGGGAAAAAAAAGAGAATAATCCCAAAATAACTACATCATGTAAAGACATATGTTTTTATGTTTTCTTTAGAATGAATGTCAAATGGTTTAAATGATAAAAATTCTTCTTAAAAAATATTATAAGAATAATTTAAGATTATGTTGTTACGTGACATTTTATTCTGTTTATGTACAATATTCATGTGTGTTAAATAACAGAGATATTTTATCTTATACTACTGGTTCAAGAATCTTATTTCATTGTTTAATAAATTTTATAAAAATATTTCATTACATATAGCTTTATACCCTTTAAAATTTTGGAGCGTAAATGGCCGAGTGGTTGAGTTTTAGGTCGCAGTGTAGGTCATATGGGGACTTTGCATTTTTAGCTCGACTATTCGATAAGAATAAGTAGAGCTATTGTAGTCACCCGAGCTTCGGCGTAACCTCTTATGTTAAAGTTTTTGTAATACCTTAAATATTTTCAAAGTCCATTGACATATGGCTTTGAAACTTTGCACACTTTTTCACCGTCATGACCCCAACCTGTAGACAGGAGGAGGTAACTGTATCAAGCATTTTGACAGCATTATGCCCCTTTTTCAACTTAGAATTTACATTTAAGTTTGCATACCACCTCAGATATTTTCATATTCTATTGACATCTGGCTTTGAAACAAGTTGAAATTTTATACTCTTCTTAGGACTCTCTTCAAGGCCTATAACTGTAACATGGATTTAAAGAAAAAAATTGCCCTTTTGGTAACTTAGAAAATTTTACATTATCAAGGCTTTTTTTTACAATCAAGCACTAAGAATAGTCAAGCGTTGCTGTCCTACCGACAGCTCTTGTTACTGGTTGAAGAAGACCCCAGGTCCTCCTCTGTGCATCATCCCAGGCACATGCTGGACAGCTTTCTCACATGCAAGAATAGGAAGACACTGGTGCAGCTTGAACCTAAAGTAGTGAGAGGCAATTAAATTAATTGGTTAGAAGTCAATGAACTCGACCCAAGAAATTCAATTTACTTAAATTGTATAGTTATAGATATTCTTATTTTCAGCCATTCTTGCATACCGTGTGTTCAGAAATATAAACAAGCTGTACGTGAAGATAGTGCATGGAGCCATACATCTAGGGGCATTGATATTTGCCTCCGTGGCCCTGAAGGCTGTGTTTGACTCCCACAACCTGAAGATGAAGGATGGACAGCCGGCGCCTATACCCAACTTGTACAGTCTTCACAGCTGGATTGGGATCATCGCTGTCATCATGTTTGGACTGCAGGTATGATAATCTTCTAGACTTGAATATACTCCAGATTCAAGAATATATATATGTAGTCATGGGGTTTTCTTCAGTCTCTAGAATGTAGTGACAGTGTAGTACTGGGGTTATCTTCAAACTCTTAGAAACATACATGACAGGGTAGTCTTGGGCTTGTCTTCAAACTCTAAGACATGTATATAACATTGCTAATTTTCACAGTGATTTTAGATTTTTGCTACAAAAAAACAGATGGACTAAAAGGGGTTCCACATACTCTTGTCAAAGTTCGAGGGTGGTAGGGGATGGTGGTGGGGTTATGACTCTATAAACCTTTCTAGATCCTTGCATGAGCTTCTTGATATAGCATGTTGACATGAAATAATTCAATAGAAGTCATGGTTTCTGGTGATCTTCAGACTATTAGCAATTGATTTAATGTCAGCTGCAGCCATAACCATTTGACAATGATAGCCTGTCAATTTAAAATTTCAGTATGTCGTTGATGAACATTTCTTGAAATTATTGGTGAAATTTATTCAATTTACTATGGAGAGAAATAAATGCTTAGACTGTTAATGGAGTTTTATATCTGTGTTTGATATACAGTCATCATGTAAAATTGTTAATGACAGTTTAATGATGGAATAATGATAAATCAATGACAAATAAATGAAATAATTAAACCAGAATGAGCCATTTGACATGTAGTAAAATCATTGATTTAAAATCTAGGTAGGTTCATTGTTAAACAACTTGATTGGAATGGGATGATGTTACAGGACTGAAATGATTGCGACATGATGATTTTATTAAAGCTTTTCCTAGAAATTTTGGGAAAAGTACCTTGCCCAAGTTTAGGAAATTTTTCGTCGTTAAATTGCTGAAATGTGAAAAATATTTGGTAACTTTTGTGGTGACTCTGGTAAAAGGCATGTTTATATAGATTTGAATATTTGAATGTTATAAGTATTTAAATGTTGATTTTTCTGGAGCTGATTTTGACAAGTGGTCTACTTTATAATGTTGTTTTCTTGGTGTGTACATGGCTCTGTGTCTGTCTTTCTGTCTGTTTGTCTGTCTGTCTGTTTGTCAAGATTCCGTTGTCTAATAAAATCTTAGACATAAGCAAGCAGCCAGTCTTGTGACCATTTTTGTCAAATTCTTTTTTTTTCTTCAGCATTTTCCTATCAACAATTTCACCACTTGAATAAAGATTTTTATTAGAGTGGGAATTAACAGCAAAATTTACTTGCCTAAGCCAATACTTGTCACTTAGTTTTTTTGAACCCTTGTTTTGTTCAGGGAAGGACTACTTCAGAAATATAATTATATATACATGTACAACGTATTTAAATTTTATCATTCCAGTGGGTTTGTGGCTTCATAGCCTTCTTCTTTCCAAAACTTGGGTTTGCGGGGCGGACCCTGTATATGCCACACCATGTGTTCTGGGGTTTGACTGTGTTCGGTTTGGCTTGTGCTGCTGCGCTGACTGGAATCACTGAGAAGGCATTTATACTGATGTTTGCTGCAGACTTGTAAGTAAAATAATTAGTTTTGTAGAGTTTTATAATAAAACAAGTTTATTTTTGATAGTTTTATAGAGTTTTTATAATAAATCAAGTTTATTTTCCTAAAGTTGATTTTATGTATAAAAAGAAGTAATGTAACAAAACTTACACTCTTGTTGACAATAAATAAGGAAAAATACTATGATTTTGTTAAATTATTATTAAACATAATCAATGAATAATTTCAGTAAATACTCTGGACTACCATCTGAAGGTGTGGTTATTAACTGTCTCGGCTTGTCCATCATCATGCTGGCTGTGGTGGTATTTTACTTAGTTACAAGGCCCGAGTACAAGCGTCCAAAAGGTCCCGAAGAGGAGGAGAGGATTCAGCTGTCAGCAAATTAGATTAGCTCTTCAAAGGGAGACAACTTTTCAAAAAAGAAAAACTTCCTGATTAAGGGAGGTAACTGTATGTCTCCAAATTGAGGATGATCCAGATATATACATATAATATATATACATAATCCTTAATCTGCTGAAATTCTTAAATGATATTTTTGGACCTGTACATTATTAGTTTAAGGTAATCAAAAAATTAGAATTTTGGAGTTGGCCAGTCAACAGTATAGAGCCTGGTTGGTGCATGAACACTGGCCTTGCTCATAATTGGTGGCATAGGCTAATGTACATCTCAGCAGATTAAGGGATATGGTATTATTATATTATAAAAGCTTAGCTTAGTGAATATATATATATAATTATATATGATTTTTATTTTTAAAGAAAACAGATTAGGATAATTATTATATTTTATTGACTACAAAAGATTGTAAATAACTTACAGAAGGTTTTTAATTCATAGAACATGCAGAAGGCATTGTACTTTGACAGATTTGAAATTTTGATTAGAACAACATTTACAGTACATGTAATGTACATGTTTATCCTTCTGTTGGCACACAATTTAGAAGATATTTTCAAATGTTTTGTCATATTTTTCATGTTTATAAAAGGCCAAGTTGGCCAGTTTTAAGCCAGGGCTGTTTGTACATCTTTGAATTCTACAAGAGCCAATGCTTGGAGCCAAAGTTATTGGCAGAACATTTTCAGTATTTTGTTAAAGAAGATAAAGAAATCCTTTCAATTTATTTTTAACAATTCCAAAATTAGAACATGACATTTCCAATTCACATTGTTGAATTCGAGTTATTTTGTATTGTTTTGAATGATTGTACCAAATAAGTAACAAAATTGTCAGTTTTAAACTATTAAGATTTGAATTATTCTTTAAGGAATGTTAGAATTGGAAAAGTTTGAAACATTATCAGATATTTATATTTTGTTTTCATTAGGTTATTATAAATATTTCAGAAAGTTTCCTGATTCCCTTTTTTCGTAGTCCAATTATTCCATGAAAGTTTGGTAGAGCAATAAAAGATCATCATGACTATCTAATTAGTCGCCGGTAGAAACCGGCGACTATATTTGTAACAGTTTAATATTATACCTATGGTAGGAGAAGGCATTAAAATCTGAAAATAAAAGCATAACAATTACTGAACAATTAAAGACTACAATTGTTTTCAGTATTCTCAAAAATTCAAACATACAATAATGTTGCTCAATGAAATGAAATATTCAAATATTGACATCGTAAAAAGCAACATTACAATTTTTATAAAATGAATTAATGACGTATCCCTATGGATCAGTCATTGAATTTATGGATGTTTTCCTTTTTTTCAAAGTGTCAAGCGTTGCTATTTTATGATATATAAATCACGCATGATATTTGAAATTACACTTTTAAATTATCTGGTTGTTTGTATGTTATGAGACCTATTCTATTTTTTTTGTCTTATTTATTATAAACAGCTTCTCCCAGAATCACGTGACTACACGTTATATGATTCTGTTATAAAATCTATTAATAGTAACAAATGGCTTGTAAGACTGACATACAGGTAAATTGTGAATGGTTGGCAGCTGGTTAAAGTGCAAATCAAAGTAATTTTGTATGAAAAATCTCGGTATATAAGTAGGGGCCGGAATCGTATTGAATACACAGAGAAAACTAATAAACTATCTTTGTGTTGATAGTTTATCGCACTGAAAGGCAAATAAACGTTAACTATATCCTATGTAACAACTTCGTCATACTTACCACTAGGCCATCGAGCAGTATTAATTGATATAATTATACATGTAATTATACTTACAATAAAATCGTTAACATTAATCATAATAAGTTATGTAAGCTAACGAAACAGGTCCGTAAATTATTGAGTCTCGTGGAAATATTGCCAGAAAATACTTGCTTATTTAATGATAACAGTTTCTTGACAAAATTGCTAAGCAAGTATGCTTAAAATATGATGTTTTATCATAACATAAATTTATTGCATAAAACTCTTTTACAAAGTTTATAGCAAGAAAGATATAATTGTGGCAAGTACATGAAAACGTGTTAATGAATAAACATTACTCAACTTATTGTTCCTATTTTCTTTATACTCGAACCATTAAACTGATATTTTCTTTTATTTATGATAATACAATCATATTTCTATCCGGCGACTTGATGCTTTAGCATCAAAATCTCTACTTGTTTGTAAATGTAAGAACTTTCTCATCATGTCTACATTCCTTTATAGTTTAAGCTGAATCATTCCAAACATTTTATGAAATTTGAGAATTCTGAAACATTTGATGATTTGGAATTCCATTATTAGTGTTTTTTCTATATTTTATCAATTATCGTTTAAGATTTCAGAAAATGTATTGTTAATCTTACCAATGCTGTGTGTAATATATTAAAGCAGCATGCCTCCAGATTCATGCTTATTGTCATGAAAAGTTTTGAAAGTGTATTTTTTAAAGAAAAAAAAATTGTGAAATGAACAAAGAAAATGTTTTACACTGTACAAGCCACTTAAATTACCAAAGATTCAAAATTTTCAAAAATTGCCCTTACTGTGTTAGTCCATGCGACAGACACTGCAAAATCAATCATTAATTGCACATAACATGGTAATTGTTACTTAAATCTGGAGTCTTTTTACCGTTATTAAAATCTTAGTACATTTTTGCACATGTTTGATTTAAAAAAAAAAAATATTTTGGCTCATCTGGAGGCATGCAGCTTTTAAGTATAATACTCTGTATATTGTTATTATTTTTTAAAACTATACTATAATCATTAATATTTTGGTTATATTAAGGTAAAGATTACTATATCCTCTCACTTTATATATTTTCCCTTTAATTTAGGGTTCAAAACATGTGGTTATTTTCTAAAAATCTGTAAAATACAATTTTGTACAGTTTTATTTTGTTGTGATATAAATGCATTGTTAGATTTTAAAGTTATTATTATCATCAATATGTTTTACTTTTTTTTTGGCTGTTGAGCAGAATTTTGGTTTTACTGCCCAGGTGCCACCCTGTCTCAGAAATATTTCACAGATGTTTCGCCTGTTTAGCAAAATGGCCATCATGTCCAGAAGGTCATCTAACCTTTTTCTAAGTCTACCTGCTCTGTTAAATAGGGAGAGCTTTATACATTTGTAATCCAGGTATTGCAAGTTTGAACCTCTGGCGAGGCTTAAATTTATCTGTGACAGTTAATGGCCAACATTTAGTCACATGGTCATTTGTCTCTGACAGCTGATTTAGAAATCATTTGGGATGAAAACATGAGGGATCAGTAGTTGGTCATTTGCAAAAAAATTGGTAAATTACTGAGTAGTTATCCAGAAAAACCGGTTATGATCAAACATGTAACTGTTATTATCAGCCTAATAACCAAACAAACAATCTCATATTCCTCCACTACTCAAGCTAGAAAATGTCAATCCTATGATCTTAGTTATGTTTGTGTTACATAAAACCCCATCCAAAATGAGTGCGACTTAAAAAAGTGTTGGGGCACTACACTAAGTACCGAATTCCGTTATATACCAGACCAGGCATTTGTATGTTAATAAATTCTTAAATGTCCCCTTTTTATCGGTCAAAATGCTTTTAAGGGGGTTAATTCATATCCACATACCAGTTCATGTTCTATTATGAATGAAAAATGTAAGAATCACTGAAAAAAGTGTATGAAAAATGTAAGAATCACTGGAAAAAGTGTTATTTTCTACTTTGTGATCATGATTTCTCTTAAGTGTCTAGAGTTACTACCCCCAACACTATAGTGAGTTAAACCCAACCAAAATGAAATGGATTTCAATATTTAACTGAGTACAATGTAATTTATTTTTATTAGTACAAATGTTTTATGGAAGATTTCAATTGTCTTGTGTAATATGATTCTTATTGGTTTTGAAATTTTGAAATGGTTAAAAAAAAACAAAAACAAAAAACTGTTATAGATATGTTACCACAATTTTGTGTTGTTAAACAAAAGGTTGATAATTTATATTATGTATTTATGATGTTCAAAATTTACTTATATATATTATTATACCCTTTTGTTTTAGTGTTAAAATTTGCTCAGTAGTGTTATTTGTTACAGATGCCACTATTTATTATTGTATATATTTATTTTAGTATGAATCATTATTGTAGTTGATTTTGTGATATATATATAAACACAAAGCTCATAGAAATGGTCAAAACTTGTTAGCTGTGAGACTTTGTGAGCCATCACTGAACTATTACTGTATACAGTGAAACCTGTATACAAAGGCCATCCAAGGGACAGACTGAACATGGTCTTTTAAGACAAGTGGTCTTTATTTAGAGGTTATGTTGTTCTTTTCAATTTAATGAAGGATTGTCAAAGAGTGGGCTTTGTTTACAGGGTGGTCTTGATAGTTTCATTTATGTGTATATCATATATAGAAAATACATTGTGCAATATTGTTTTAACTTTATAATGACATGTGAATGTGTGAGTTTGTCATATTAAAGATGTACATGTATATTTTTGAAGCTAATTTTTTTCTTATCAAAATGGTATGTTTAATAAACTGTCAGAATTGACTGTTTATTAGGTTATGAATTAGCCAGCATATACACGTAATAAATTGTTAAAATCAGCTATAGAATTAAGTTCTAGCTTACAGAGATATCCATGGAAATATCAATGGATATCTGCTGAAATAATTTATTGAAATAAAAAGTTCAAAAATCGCTGTAGTACATTGTAAAGGAAGACTTATGATTTTGTAACTTAATGAAATAATCAGGACAGTACTTTTAAATGACTAGAATTCTGAAATATTTTTTCTTCTGCTTTTTGGTATTGGTTTTCTTTACTGTAAGCAACACTTAAGTCTGCAAAAGAAAGAATTATAAATTTATAAATATCAGTCATTTTAACATTTTTGAAGAATTTTTGTATTTTTTAAGAATTTATATAATGATATATATGAATATATACATATACCCATGTAACATCCTTTTTAAATACATTTCAACTCTGTTATATTTGTTAAGTGCATTGGTGTTTGTGGTAATTTATGTTGTTAAGTTTAAAATATCATTCTGGAAATTAGAAGGCCACTTATATTAGAAATGGAAGTCTACAACAAGACTGGGTTATTTCCCCTTGTTTTGTAAGATTAGAACTGAATGATGTAATATAAGTAGGTCACTCTTTACAGAATCAGAAGTTTGGCTATTAAGAGTTACTACCCTTTATTTGAAAAAAAGCCATGTAAAATGTATTTTAGTTTCACAGATCTATGAATAGAATATTGAAATTGTTGACCAAATGGTTATCGTTGAACAAATTTTTCTTAAGTTTTTATACAGCAAATGAAGTTTTTGGCCCATATATATATATATATCAAAGATATTAAGAAGAATAAGGCCCAGACAACTAGAAATTTGCTTTAACTTGATGAATACTTCTGTTGATAATTTCTTTATCTTATATCACCCTTTTTCATTACAAAACCCCTTTTGAAAAACAAGGGAATATTCCCATTTTTAAAGTTTTGGGAGAGTCCATAAAAAAAATTTTTAAAGGTTTATTTTTAGGGTTTTAGATTGGTAAAAGTTTTTTTTTTAAAATGCAAATTTTCTTTTTTTTAAATTTTTTTAAAGTTAAAAACCCCAGAAATTTTTTTCCCCTTTAAAACTTTGAAATTTTAAACTTATTCCCTTGATTATTCAATTTATTATATAATTTATAAATAGCTTTGAAATGCCTTTCCTTTCCCTGATTGGGTCTTAGAAGTAACTTTTTGTAAACAATGACAGGTCACTCAATGTTTTTTCTTCTAAAAAATAGATTTCCTAGAGTGTATTCCTAAAAAATAGATGTTTTGTAAATTGAATGATATGATGTGTCATCCACACAAAGTTTGTTGTTATTATTCTGGGGAAAAAGAAGAAAAGTTTGGTGACTTGCAAGATATAAGTCAAATTAAAGTGTTTAAGTGGGCGTCTTTATGTTTTTAGAACATAACGAATTTAGCGTTCCCATATATTGGGCCTAAAAAAAGTAAACAAGCTGAAGAAATATTTCATGTTTCGATCTTTTTGCCATTTGATAACAGGTCAAAAAAGGGGATTGCCCTCTTGAAATTTTCACAATATCAGTTTCTGGGGACCTTGTTATTAGATCGGTCATAGCTTTGTATGAAAAAAATACTGGGTTTTTTGTTGGTATTCCTGTTGACATGTTTTATATATATAATTCAAGACTTTTATTTGTATATTATGACTTGTAATTATTTGATTTTATTCTAAGTTCAAAACCATGTCAAAAATATGAGTGGTATGTATAAATAAACTTCAAATCGTGATAATAATTGTTTGTTGAATTTGTTTCTAGATTGTGTTAGATACCAGGTTATTTTTGAAGAAGTTTATGGAGTTAAATGTCTAGAAATGTGTTTGCCATTTTCTTTGTTCAACAAATATTGATATATATTGCCAGTCTGACAATTCATGTAGCTTTTTACCCAGGAGGGTGCAGTTGTGTATCTTTAACAGGTTTTTACGGGGTTGGGTGTAATTTTACAAGGGCTGATTTTTATTGGGTTGTAAGTTTACAGGTTTTAATTGGGGGGGGGGGGGTGGGTGGCAGGGGCAGAGGGGGTCTTTTTGATGTTAGGTCACACAATTTTGACAAGGGGTAATGCTTATTTAAGAGGGGTTTTGCATTTTAGTAGTATTCCAGGGTGTCATCAGAAAATTTTTTCAACTCCCTTCAAAAAAAAAAAAAAAAAAAATAGAACTTAATATAGAGACCTAGTAGCCAAATCTAAGAGAGGAGTTGGGATTGGGGGTCATGACCCAATTCTTCTGCCACTCTGGATCTCTGCATGTTTTGTATATAAAATTGTATCATATACAGTGTATGTACATTGTAGTCTCAGCTTATTGCAGTAAAGCGTTAACTCCTATTAAACTTAAAAGTAGTTAATCCATTACTGTACTAAAGTGGTGAATTATTAAATACTTAAAACTCCCCTTCCCTAGTCCCCTAAATTAAAAGGAAGAGAAAAACAACAAAATTTAAAGGTTATGTTTAATTTATCATTATTTATTTTCATATAACATAATGAAATAACAAGAACACATATTCATCACATGAATTCAATACAAAACAATAAGGACAAAAAGTGAAGATTCAGATGAATCTATGACCAGCTATCACACATGAAATAAATTAACAAAATGGACGGTAAAACACAAAATTATCTTGCTTTTACACTGATGACACCAGATTCACACTTTTGTAAATGCTTTCAGAAGTATTAGCAGTTTAACACATTCTCTAAAAATGAATTGTTGTTATACAGTATATATACAATGGTGTGGATGCATTTAATTGCAAAGTCCACCTATGATCTGTGCCCGGCTCCTTGGTCAACTTCTATATCAATAGCAGAATCCTGTGTTGCCGGCCTCTTGTTGGAAGTCGCAGTAATACAGTCATCTTGCTGCACTAGCTGATAACCTGTTTGTCCACCAGCGGCTGCGGGTTGATAGTTATTTGCCGGGAATGGAGGGTTAGATGAAGTTTCTCCGGTCTCTTGGGATCCCGGGGTTTAAACCTTTTTTCACAGAGTTTGTTTTTCAACCTAAAAGATCAGTTGTCAAACTTTTTTCCCCAAAAGCATTTAAAATGAGACATCCCACTATAACGGGGCCCAAGCTATCCCTAGGAAAGAAAAAGATTGGGTCCTGAATGTCTTGAATATATTCCTGGAAGCTTTTTGTAGGTGGAAATGTTACTCTTTGTTGTGGAACGTAGACTGAAAATATAATAATGGTATATTGTTTTAATTTAATGTTTAACTAGCTCTAAACCCTGACAAACAACAATAGAAGAAAGAAAAAAAAGGAAAATCTAAGCAAATAGCAAATCTGAATTGTGCCATGCCAAGTCAACCAATAGACACAAAACTGAGGTGATCATAAGCTAGAAATATTAGGATAATCACTGATCAGGGGAAGTAACCGCTGCGAGGAGTTTGGGTAACATCTTAAAGCAGTCACCTCCCCTTTATTATTATTTTTTGTATGTATAATTAGCCTATTGGAAATAACCGCTGACTAGTATAAATCGAAACCGAAAATAGATAATCTTTCCGTGTTTTTCATATTCTGGATAAATATATTTATTAGATATTTCATTTAAGTTATTTTCAAGAAAGTTTGTTCAATAGGGAAAAGGTAACATACGTTTACACTTTTGACCACAAGTATATTCATATAAGGATGGAATGTCGCATCTGTCGGAACACGATTCGTTCTTTCCTGTTGCCGAGTTGTAAAAATAATCCAGTCCTTCAATATGAGTTTCTGTTCTTCCTGTAAAAGAATCAGAGTGAAAACGCTTAAATTATATAATTATAATAGCACCAGTCATATATATAATCCAGCCCAGCCCGATCTCAAAGAATAAATATGACTTCGACTTCGCGGAACCAGCAAAGCCCTTTTAATATAATTGACCTAGTTGAAATCTTAAATATATCACACTTTCCTGTACACGGGAAACAAAAAAAAAACTGCTTACAGTTTTTCATTTAATCCTTTTAAATATGAATATATGAATTAAAAAAATAACGGGTCACAACCTCTAGAAAATGCATACAGGTGTAGGCATAATATATTTCAACTTGAGTCCCATATGCAGGTGCAGTCAACCAGATGAAAATTTTTTTAAGTGTTTTCTGGGACAAAAATAGTCGAAATATATTGACGTGCCAAAGCTTGATTCTGAGATATTTTCGTGAAAAGAGACGAAAATTTCGAAAAAAAAAATCTTGATCTAGTAAAAAGAAATAGGCTCACCGTCTTTGTCATTCGTTCCTCCAGCTAATACTGTTAAGATATAAAAGTGACACACAATAGCAAAATACATGTTCAACAATAAGGGAACCTCTGTGCAGAGTCTACTAATTCTCATACGGCATGCTTTTAAGGGAGTAACTATAAAACGGGTTTACAAACTTCATTTAAATAGTAGCATACATGTAGCTGTGTCTATATTTAACTTGTCTCGCTGCTCAGACGCATATTGCGGAAATACCAGTTAGCTATTTATAACTTAAATACGCGTTATTTTTGCATTTGCTAAAAATAGGAATGGCAATTCCCATATGTTACCTAAAATAGATTTTTGCTTTTTGAAACTAAGTGAACACATAACTATTTCATTTCTTAGACTATCTGTGAAACGCAGAAGGTCCGTTACAGAAATAAAATGGGCTCAACCAACTGGAGACACGATTCCACAGTCAACCCCGTTGTATATTTCAAAGTCGGGAAAAAATGCGATGGTAAGATATTAATTTACTACATTTATTTTTTCCATTTCAAACATTTTTGATAGACAGTATATCTAGTATTAATACATAAATTTCATTTTCTTTCTTTTACTTTATTATAGAGCTGTATATCTTTTTTTGTATATAAATTAAAGTTTAAAACGGAGACTATTATGTTATGACTTTCCAGCTGTTACTGTTAGATAATTGGAGGACTGTCATGTACTAGTCTCAATATTTCGACGGCAAGACAGACCGATTTTATAATCTGAAATTTCATAGATGTCTGTCTTTACGACAGGGCGACCATCGTCTATATCAAAAAAGCCCTAAAGCGCCACAATTTGTTGGGGGCTAGTCATGTACATAATTTCAGTCAGGAGTCATGAGCTATGAGTGGGGTCCCTGGAGTCTGGACCCACCTGAACACACCTGAGCTAGTAAGACTTAGGAGTATTTATTGTAAATCTGATGCATGTACATGTATTTACATCAAATATCTATAAAAGGAAAAACATTTTTACAGTATTTTTAGCTATTTGTAGATTTAATTCCATGTATTGTATATTGAGTCACAATATATATGACTGTGTTAACTATATAATCTTTGACACATTTTTTTGTCCCACTTTATATACTGTAATTGATAATAGCTTTTGAAATTTTTTTAAGAGCCCCTCTTTAAACCACAAAACAGTTCTGTGTGGGTCGAGGGTTTGCTTTTGTACATTGAGCTTCTAACTTTAAAATGTATTAAAATAAATTGTTTCCCTAAGAACATTAAAAGAGATTAGCACAATATGAAAACAAATTGTGAATAACCATTTAATAATAACCAAATAAAAAATCTTTATTAAAAAAAACAAACAAACAAAAAATTTAGCTTTATCTGATATTGAAGATCAGGGTGTGGAAATTAGGTTTTTAAGGGTAAGCGGTTTGAACTCTCTTTGAAAGGAAAAAATGGTTAAGCCTCAGAATCAAATAAAATAATTTTTTTTCTTTAGAAAGGGCAAACATGAATTTCATAACTTTTAAATAATAGTTTTTTTTAAAGCATGTTAATTAAAAAAATTATATATCCCAAACTGTGATTTTATCGCTTAATAACATCACTGTTTGGAGTTCGGATGGGCGAGGAATTATATCACGAGGGGCGTAAGCCGAGTGATATAATGATGCGCATCCGAACGACAAACAGTGATGTTATCCAGCGATAAAATCACCGATTTGGATATATTTATTTCAATTCTAACACGACATAAACAAATAAATGCTGCCGTACCTGCTATTAAAGCAAAATTGCGCCTGATTTGTTTCCGTACTTTTTTTAGCGCGTCGGATTTTATAGTGGTTACGTCACATGTATAAATGATTACGTCACATGTCTAAATATAGAACGTCAAACAGTGACTCTATTGCGCATAATAACACACACTTTCGGTTTCTTTCTATGTTTCAATTAGGGAAAAATGCGGGTCGTGTTAGAATAGATGCTTGTTACTTACAGCAAGTTTAAATGCTGATGGTGAAATAATTTATCTCGAAGAAGTAAAATGTTAAACAATTTATGTATTTTGACTTCCATACAAAATACTAAATCACTATAATTGTTACTAATGGCCAAAAAGCAACAGAAGAAATGACAGCTTTTGAGAAATGGAAATAAGAGCATATCTGGAGCATAATGAGATTTTAAGCCATCTGAGTTTGAAATTTCATGACTGGTTATAATCTAAAGGCCAAATATCAGATCTCAGACTGGCGGGAAACCAAAACTACTCCACTTTAATTTAAGTCTTTACTATTGAAATAACCAATTCAGTTTATACTAACAATAATAATACTGCATGTATGTAAAGGTTGCTTTTCATTGGAAAAATCACAGGGTTTTTTAGCCGCTTATATAGCTTTTATATAGCATGGCTCAGCAGCTGTCAATTTATGAAGAAATCTCACTTTTTTTCTCTGGAAACTTAAGTTTGCTGTATCATAAATTGGTGACAGGTTACTGTACATGTATATTTCCATGTTTTTTTTTTCAATATAACCCTCACTGGCTTGGATTATATTTCCAAACAACTGTATATATATTACTAAAGGCCATATATGTAACCTGTCAAAAATCTTTATATCTAATATAATACTGAATCATACTTATTTGTATTTGTTTGTAAATGCCAGGTACAGAACAACATGGGTGGGTATGTCTTTAAGCTGAATGACTCAAAGAGGCTATTGAGGTTCATCATAATGGGATCAGAAGGTGGAAGTTACTATGTGAAGGAGAAGGAATTACAGAGGGAGAATGTCACCTGTATTGATAGGTAATTATTATGTTTTATAATATGAAGTTTCATTTTTTTAATGGGTTATTGGTAATTGGTTAAGGTTCATATAAAGTTTCATTTTTTAATGGGTTATTGGTCATTGGTTAAGGTTCATATGAAGTTTCAATTTCTTTTTGTAATGGCGTTATTGGTCATTGGTTAAGGTTCATACAAAGTTTTCAATTTTTTTTTGTGCAGATTAATTGGTGCCGGGGCAGGGAGTGCAGGTCGTCCAGCAAATCAAAGAAATCAGTGTCAACAGACGCAATGTGAAGCAGAACGCTTTATTGCTTGCATACGCAATTTGTGCCAGAATGTAACGACAAGGACACAAAGAAAGCTGCGTACGCCCCTTCTGTCTGAGATATGCAGAATTCCAACTCATCTCTTTATGTTTATTAAAGTACTGCGAACAAGAGAGCAAAGGGGAGGCAGAAGAATCTGGTAGGCCATTATTTAGTTACAAAAAAATTGGGGCCTCTGTGATAGAGTTTTTTACAGTTGTTTTACTTGCAATCACTTTGTTGTTTTAAATCCCAATAAGGGGACTTTTCATGTAAAATAACAATGCTGCAGGAATATGAAAGTATGTAGAACTCTGGTGCCTAAGATTTTAGGTTGACCAACTTTTAAATGTAATATGCCATTATCACTTTACGCCTGGTTTCTTTTGTTAGAAACTGCTTATATTATGCCATCTATTTATAAAAAGAATATCAGAAGGAATTTAATAGTAACTTTTAGTAATAACCTGAATATATTTCATTGACTGTTTAAATTTTTCTTTGAAATATTAGAAAAAACAACAAAATTTTGTATGATATTGAATTATAGGCACTGGATGGGGCCGAGCACACAAGCGGGCTGTCAGCAAATGGTACACAAGCTTTGAAAAAAGACCCTGAAAAACTTGCAAGACTTGTCACAAAATTCAAGGAACCGTGAAAAGCTGGTTTCATAAAGATGTGGTGCGTTTGGCGTCACACAAGTACAAGTGACAAAGCTGTGGGATTTATTCTCAGGTATATCTCAAGATTTCAGACAAACATATTAAATTTCAAGGAAATGTTAATATTAAAATAACAATTTCATTGAAAATGCCCCCCAATTGGCCAAAAAATTGCCAGGTAATTTTGCTACATCATTTTTAGTGACACAGTCTTTAGAATATACATTGGTATATAATCAATTCAGAAAGGAAAAATTTTTTTAAAATTTCTAAAGCTTTTCAAAAAGTTAACAGATGTGTTCTATTATCGGAAAAAAGCTGTATACCCTGAATAAGGAAAAGGGAAATTAATTTAAAAAATTGAATCGTTTAAAAAATAGAAATATCCCCTAAATGTGATTTAAAACCCCCAAGGCTGTTTGGAAATTGGGGTTTTTCTGTAACAAAAATTTTTCTTTTTAAAAGAAATTTAAAAATGAGGTTTTTTGGGTTTTTGGGCAATTTAAAAATAGTTGTTTGGGTTTTGATATTGCATTTTTCCCTTTTAATGTGGTTGGGCCCTTATGAATTTTATTGAATTACTTTTGTAATTTAAATCCAGAAAAACAAAGGAAAAAGGAAAAAAAGGGGGAATAACTCTATAAAAACTGAAAATGGAGTTATTGTTCTTGTGCACTTGCCACTTTCCTCTTTTTGTGCTTGACCATTGTATGAAGTTGTTTGAATTTCAACCAGTACGTTTTAAGTTATGCTCCAGACAGGAAAAGTATCAAAGGGCAGTAACTCTGTATTTTGTCAAAATGGAGTTATGGCTTCTTTATTGACACTGCACTTCCTTTTAATGTCCTTGCAAACTGTATGAAGTTGTATTGAATTCCAAACAGTTAGTTTTCAAGTTATGCTCTGGACAAGGAAAAGTAACAAAGGGGCAATAACTCTGTAATTTGTCAAGATAGAGTTATGGTTCTTGTGCAGTGCAACTTCCTCTCAATGTGTTTGACCATTGTATGAAAGTTATATTGAATTCCAACCATTAGTCTTCAAAGTTATGCTCCGGACAAAAAAAAGCAATGGAAAAGTAACAAAAAGGGCAGTAACTCTGTAATTAGTCAAGATGGAGTTATTGTTCTTGTGCACTGCACTTCCTCTTAAGGTTCATTGACCATTGTATGAAGTTATAATGAATTCCAAAAATTAGTCTTCAAGTTATACTCCGGACAAAGAAAGCAATGGAAAAGTAACAAAGGCAATAACTCTGTAATTACTTTAGATAGAGTTATGGTTCTTATGGCACTGCACTTCCCCTTACTGTGTTTGACAATTGTATGAAGTTGTTTTGGGAATTCCAACCAGTAATTTTCAAGTTTGCCCCGGACAAGGAAAGTAACAAAGGGCAGTAACTCTGTAATTAGTCAAGATAGAGTTATGGTTCTTGTGCACTGCACTTCCTCTCAATGTGCTTGACCATTGTATGTAGTTATATTGAATTCCAACCATTAGTCTTCAAGTTTATGGTCCGGACAAAAGAAAGCAATGGAAAAAGGTAACAAAGAGCAATAACTCTGTTTAATTACTTTAGTAGAGTTATGGTTCTTGTTGCACTGCACTTCCCCCTTATTGTGTTTGACCTTGTATGAAGTTGGTTTTTGAAATTCCAAACCAGTAGTGTTCAAGTTATTGCCCCCGGACAAGGAAAAGTAACAAAAGGGGCAGTAACTCTGTAAATTGTCAAGATAGGGTTATGGTTTCTTTGCACTGCAACTTCCTCTTCCAAATGGCTTGACCCAATGTTATGTGTTATATTGGGAATTCCCAACCATTAGTTCTTCAAGTTTAGGTCCCGGACAAAAGAAAGCAATGGAAAAGTAACAAAGCGGCTATAACTCTGTTTAATTACTTTGATAGAGTTATGGTTCTTTGTGCACTGCAACTTCCCCCTTTTGTGTTTGCAATTGTATGAAGTTGTTTTTTTTCCAACCTTTTGGTTTTTCAAATTTTGGTTCCCGGACAAAGGAAAACAAAGGGCGTCTGGAAAACCCAAAAAACCGATCGACCAACCGACCACCGGGTGATTTCCCATATTTCCCCCCCAAACTTTTGTTTTTTGGGGGGTAAAAAACCTGGGGATTTTTTTACAAATTTTTGAACCCTAAGTAGTCTCAAAAATGTCAAGTATATGGGCCCTTTTGGCGTGATTTTCATTTTAACTCATTTTCATAACAAAAAGGCCCGGAAAGGGAAAGAAAAGTATCTTTAAAATAACTGGAGATGGCGAGGAACCCGGAAAAACCCCAAATTAGTACGGGCCCGATAGAAGTGTTTTACAGGGTAAAATTTTCCCGATGGGGAAGGAACTTTGTTACCTTTTCAAAGGGGCCTAAATTACATGGGGCAGTTGTAACTCCCGGGCTTCTCAAGAGTAAAGAAGTATGGATCGCACTTGTTATACCGACATGCCGTATCGGGCCACCATTCGTAAACCTCGGCCGGGATGACTAAGGATGGATGTTTGGCAGAAAAAGCGAGGACGAAAACAGAATGGTTTGGTATTTTTTTTGCGTAAAATTATTCAAGAGATATGGCTCATTTTAATTGTTGGAAATTATGGCATGTTATAATGATAAGATTTGTCAAAATTTGATTTTTAAATTTTGGTGTAAAAATTTTTTAGAGGTTTACTTTAATTTTTGGGAATTTTCCCGGCTTTCTTATAACAATAAATATGTTATATATGTGCTCCTATGTTAATTTGGAGTAATGTCTTTAACATGCATTGCCTGTAAATGTTGTACCTGTAAGTCACAAAAACGATTAATATTTTGATTTTAAAAAAATTACTGAGTGATTTATTACAGCTTTTTTAAATAGGTTGGGCAGGAAAATATTTGGGGGAAAAAAAGTACCCGTATTTTTTTCCCTTTTTAGGGGGTTCAGATTTTTTAAATTTAAAAAAAAAAAGTTAAAAAATGTTTGGTCCGATTTAAAAATCGCAAGTCCCTTTTAAAATTTTGAAGGGGGGACATATTTTTTTTAGCAAAAACCCCTTTTTTAAAAATTTGTTTGTATTTTAGGTTTTAGATAAGTAGTCGTCAACATTTCCGAAAAATCCCATGGAAAAGGGCGATTTAAGTGAAAAAATTTATTTGGAAATCGCAAAGTTCCCCAGGAAGGTCAGAGGGGGCAAAAAAAAGAGGAGGGAAAGTGCTCCCCCCCTTTAAAAACCTTCTGGCCCTTTTTTAATACAAAAAGGGGTTTGGGAAAAATTGGCCATGTTATGAAAACCAAATTTAATGCGTTTGGACCAGCAACGATTTAAAAGTAAAAATTTTTTTAAAGAGAACAGCGAAAGTTAATATACACTTGCAAAAGCACTAAGAAGTCCACTAAATTACCCAAAAAGTTGCGTAAAAATACTGGCAAAAGTACCCCTTATAGTCCACACAGTAAAAATATGGTGAATTCAATTACTCAAAGTCGTTCATTATCTACAAAAACAGTAATTTATTACTTGGAAATCTTTGATACTTTTTATTAAAATTTTAGGATAATTTTTTTTTTTTTTTGATTTTCTTGTTTTTTTTATCTGTTAGCATTGCAGCTTTAAAAGAAGTGAATAATAAAATTTAAATGCCTTTATTGTAAAATTTTTAGAAAAAATTATGATGAAAGTTCCACTTAAACCTGGGAACAATTTTTCCTTTTTAGCGATCGGTCCAGCTCTAAAGTATTTCTTCCCCTTTGTTCTGTTTCTGTTTTCTAAATTATCTTTTTCCTTTTTTAAATTATTCAAAGGACATGGCGGACAAAGGGGAGGGTGTCATGGCGACACCAACCAAAAAAATTATTGAAGCCCTTTGGACCAGGCATTCTTATCAGGCGTTTGATGCTGTCGAGCCTACCAGGGGAAGAAGTACTTTACTGGCCTGGACGTTCAGTGGGTCCATGTCACACCAGTGCTTTTGGAGGCTCGTAATTAAGCCTTTTAAATCCACTACATCACTGTTGTTACTGTACATTGAATTGAAAATTGAATTATAAGACACGGATATAATATACTCTGTAATGAAGATTATATTAGAATTTACTTTGTAAATTAATTACATATGATTACCAATTACTTAGAAATTGAGATATTTGAGTCAATTCACTTTTGTAAATTTATTACACATTAGATACAATTACCCTGTAATAGAAGATATATGTGTCAATTACTCTGTAATTATTTACACATAGATACAATTACTTTTTAATAGAAGATATATGTGTCAATTACTCTGTAATTATTTACACATAGATACAATTACTTTTTAATAGAAGATATATGTGTCAATTACTCTGTAATTAATTACACAAAGATGCAATTACTCTGTAATGGAAGGTATTTTGCTGTAACCATAACTCAGTCAAGTCGTCTTGTGACTGAAATAATGCACAGAGATTATCTGCAATCTTTGTCCAACAGTGATTTATGCCAAAAATGAATCCAATATACTGTACATACTTACAAGACCGCCCTGGCCCTATATGACCAAAGGGTTGTCACTGGGGATTTTTTTGTAGGCACGAATATAAGAACAGTTGTATTTTTACCTGATATGTGAAATACTTGTGATATCGGTTGTTATGACTTTAAACCTTTTTCATTTTTGTGAAAAAACCAAAATTAAATTGAAAAAAAGGAAAAGGACTTGGTGAAACTAATTAAATAAAAATGTTTATTGATGGCTATTATTGAAACATACATTGGTGCCAACAGCAAGCCGCAGGCATGATTGATGGTCGTTAAGAAAGAGGGAACAGTGCTATCAAAAGGTATTTTTTTTTATTTTTGTTTTTGATTCTTTAATACATTAAATTTCATTTGTATGTTTGTGTGGGGCTTATTTTGAAAGGTGAGTTGGGAACTTACAGGGTGTCATTTAGCGTCT